TGGAGGGTCCAAATCTGGGCTCCCCAGTTCAAGAGAGACAAGGAATTACTGGAGAGAGTCCAGCAGAGGCTCTGAAGCTCCTGAGGGGCCTGGAGCATCTCTGTGCTGAGGACAGGCTGAGAGCTCTGGGGCTGGGCAGCCTTGAGAAGGCTCAGAGGGGATCTGATCAGTGCTGATCCATATCTTTAGATAGTTGATTCTTCCACCAAACTGTGACTATCAGCTTTGCCCTGCTGAAACTTGCAGTTATTTGGAAAGACAGTGAATTGAAATGAATTCTGGAGAAAAAAAAAGCAGCTCTAATTTGCTAAACCCCCCCCAAAAAGTGGTCAGGAAAAGACTTCAGCTGCCTCTGAACCCCCTTTTTGTTACGTTTCCTGACAACAGGAGCTGCTGCTCAGCTTGAACACCTGCATTTAGGGATTAAAAAGAGGAAAAACAAGTCAAAGTAGTTACCAAAGTCTTTCAGTTTCTCTACATTGAGCTTTCCAGCCCGGGGCTTCTCTTCCACCACAAAGCCAAAGGAAGGAACACGATGGAAGAGCCGAAACGCTTTCACAACCAACTGCTCATCCTCAAGCAGCAAGTAGGACTCTTCTCCTGGCTCCAGGTGGAGTCTCCTCCCTTGTGCCCCCTGGACAGACACCTCCTCCCCACCCAAGTGAGAAAAGTCCTTAAATTCATCCACAGGGCACTGGTCTTGTGTAGGAACCAGCTCATGAACGGCGTAGGGGAAGAGGAGTTGTGAGTGGGAGAGCTCCAGACTCCTCTGTAGGAAGTTCTGCAGTCCTACTGGTCCATAAATATCAACCAGGGGTTTCTTTAGCTCAGGGCTACTTTGGAGGCTTATTGTGCACAGCAGGCCAGGGAGTCCAAAAAAGTGGTCCCCGTGAAGATGAGTTATGAAAATCTTGGTCACTCTGCCTATGGATGAGGAAAACAGGAAAACAAACCAGAAGAAGACAGGGTAAGAAATAAATAGAATAAAAAAATACAGACAACTTTGTACTTTATTGTACAGACAACTTCCAGAGGGGGGAGAGTTCTCAAACTCTTCCATGGAACCCCTCATGCTGGGAGGCCATGAGAGAGTTGGAGTGGTTCAGCCTGGAGAAGACTTTAAGGTCTGGAAGGTCCTTTCCAACCCAAACCAGTCTATGATTCTGTGGAAAAAGCCCAGAATTTTCTCTCATTACAGACACAGGTTGCCTCAGTCTCCTCTGTTAGCTGAGCTGCCACTTTCTCCCAGTAAGGAGGAATTTTCTCCAGCGTGTTAGGACTGATAGGAAGGACAGAATCTCTTTGTTTTGATTTAAGAGCAATTGAATAAAAATGAATCTATTCACTTGGTCATTAAATTCCCTGAGAGCTTCAGATTTTGGAGCAGCAGGTGATTGGTTTTCTGTTTATAATTCATAATTCCATCTTCTAAGAGTCCAAGGTCTGTTTGGACTCTTAGAAGACTGCAAAATGCACAGAAGGCATGTCTGGTTTCTACTTCATTTCCCAAAATGTGAAACCTCACACCAATACCCAAGGAACTTGAGAACCAAAGCACAGGATTTCCTGATGGGAAGACCCACAGCAGGTATTGCCTGGAGCTGTCCTCACACAAATACCAACTGCACCCATAGAAAGCTGGTCTGTGGCCCCACATTTAAAACTTCAAAGCCCCAAAAAATGAATTCAGAATGTTCTCCAACATGGTTCTTTACCAAAGATCAATCAAGGATTATTGCACAGGAGGTGCAGCAACTCAGCAACTGCCACCCACCCATGGCACCTTCTGATGCTCACGCACGTCCCCACACGAGCCCAAAGGATTTTGAGGTGAAACTTTCCCCCCTTTTCCCTCACCACGACGCCTCCCAAGGGCACAAACCTGCTCTGAGGTGGCTCTTCATGAACTGGGTCTGTGTCCCCTCCCCACAGTCGAAGAGCCAGCACTCCCCTTCCCGGCGCAGCACCAACGCCGACGCCCCCCTGCTCGGGGAGGGATAGGCTGAGCCCGTGCCCAGGAAAGTCACAGCCATGGACATCTTCCACCTTCCCCAACGAGAGATTTCCAGCTGCTGGGCAGGTGTATTGATGCTGGGAAAGAAAGAGTTTTGCTTTAAATGAATCTATTCTTCATGCTTTGGGGAAATTCCCCTTCTTAAGTGAAGAAGGAACCACCACCCCCCTCCTTTATGCAGCCTGAGGGCTGTGTGATGGACCACAGAAGATCTACCTGCTCAGCAGCTGGACCTGCTGTTCAGGTAGTCACCATGTTGTCCAGACGAGGAGCTCGGGTGGTCTGCAGGTCTGCAGGAGCAGGACAACCTTCTGAGAGCTGGGTGAGGAGCAGAGCTTCCCCATGGTGGACTCTGCCACCACCTCACCTCGCAGGGGGTGCCTGCTCCAGCCTCACTCTGCCCAGATCCCTCATTTCCACCTCATTTCAAACTCCGTGTGCCTCAACAGCTTCAGACGCCTTCCCAGCAAGCCCAATTCAGGCTGGATGTGAGGAAG